GAGCCTTAAAAAGGTTATTTTTTAAAAAAGAAGACAATGGGGCGGAGCCTGTGGCTCAGTGAGTAGGCCACCAGCCCCATACACCGAGAGGGTGGTGGGTTCAAACTGACCCCGGCCAAACCGCAACCAAAAATAAAAAAACAAACATAGCCAGGCATTGTGGTGGGCGCCTATAGTCCCAGCTACTAGGGAGGCTGAGGCAAGACAATCGCTTAAGCCCAAGAGCTGAAGGTTGCCATGAGCTGTGACCCCACAGCACTCTGAGGGCAACAAAGTAAGACTCTGTCTCTAAAATAAAAGACAATGTAACAGAATGTAAGTGGCCAACATGCCTAACATATTTACTCCCTAGCCTTTTATACAAAACGTGTCAACCGCTGGGGACTGTCTAGCTCATATAGCTAAGGTTTAATGGAGACAGGCTACCAAGGGCAGGTCATGAACATACAGCAGTTTCTTCTCCACTTTATCTCTTAGGAAGAGGTAATTTCCGTTACTATCTGCTCAGATGTGTCATCTAGCCAAGTATAACTCAAACCAAATGTAATACAAACTTATCAAATACCAGTCTTTTTAAAAAGCCAACAATTTAAATCATAAGAGTTTATAATCTCCCCTCCTCTACATGATTAATCATACTTGAACATATGTCATATTTTAAAAATTCTAATTGGCAATTAGGTCAAATAGAATACCATGAAATTGTTACCATATGCAAGGACTGATAATCACCCTTGATGAGCGTTATTACTCTGGCATCCCAAAGGAATATTTTATTACCTTTTTTTTATTATTTGGAATCCACTGAGGATACAAAGAATTAGGTTACAATGACTGTATTTGTCAGGTAAAGTCCTCTAAAGGACAATTTTATAAAAATTCCAGTCAGGGCCGGGCACAGTGGACCAAGAGTTTGAGTTTGCTGTGAGCTATGATACCATGGCACTCTACCCATACTAACTACAAAGTTAGTCTCTGTCTTTAAAAAAAAAAATTCTAGTTAGCATGATACCAATTATACAGTGGCTGAAGAAAAATGTACTTTGTATAGAATTATCATGCTTGCCTATGTTTTTGCAAATAAATTATTCCAGGGTAGTTAAAAAAGCAAAAAGAACTCTTAAAATTATATCCACAAACCTTAAATCTGTCTCAGTAATGGTATCACCCAGGCCACCAACATATAGAGTGGTAATAGTTTTATCCTCTGGTGGGTCCAGACGAGGCATGGTTGAAGCCCGCTTTAGAAGCTTATCAGCTACAGGGTCATTGATTCCATAATATCGGTCTTTAATATTCTGATCAGCAAGTGGGTCATCTGGATCTGTAGGCTTCTCATGTCTATGATTCAAGGAAAAGCAATGCATAAAGGTGAAACAAAGGGAAAGAATATTGTTATCTTCCAAGAGTAGCTGCATATTAAGAGAAGTCCCAAATACATATCCTGAAACGCTTTTTGAACTAGAAACCATGGCTATACCAAAATACAATTAAAAACAAAATACCAAGGGATTTATTGTATTATACTAGGACTTCCCAGCCTTCTCAAAGTCATTAGGTGGCTCGGTGCCTGTAGCTCAGTGGCTAGGGCACCGGCCACATGCACTGGGGCTGGCATGCTCAAACCCGGCCCGGGGCCTGCCAAATTGACAACAACTACAACAACAACAACAAAAATAGCTGGGCATTGTATCGAGTACCTGTAGTCCCAGCTACTTGGGAGGCTGAAGCAAGAGAATGGCTTAAGCCCAAGAGTTGGAGGTTGCTGTGAGCTGTGATATCACAGCACTCTA